GCCCCCGGCCTTCCCTCCCTGGCGGCAGCCCCTGGACAGTCCACCCCGCGTTTAGTCTTTCAGAAGCGCCGTCCAGAGAGCCCGACCCGACATGCCCACGGGCCCCAGGGGACCGGCCCCGCGGCCCTCTGCCCCAAGCCCACCTTGGTGCCCGACGGGGTCGCCACTGGACAGCACAGCCGCGGGGGGGCGGGGCCGAATGTGTGTAAATAGTGGCTTTGACTTGCACTTGCTACTTCTGGCCAGGTCAGAGCAATAACCCACATGCACAGCATCAGAAACAAGCACACACGCGCCCAGGGCCACCGGCCACGCGTTGAGGCCCGAGCAGCAGCCGGCACCCAGGCCCGCCCCGCCTGCCGCCAGCGTCTGCAGGGGCCGGGGGGCCCCGCCTGCCTCCCAGAGAGCTGCCGGGCCGCGCCTCAGGCCTCCAAGCTCGGCCTCCTTGGTGGGAGTCTCGCCACGCGACAATCTCAAGTTAATCAGCAAGAACTGTTTGCATTTTTAAAAAATTTTGCTCTGCTCTTTTTAAATCGCTCATTCTGATCATTTCAAAACGCATCCACGGATGAAATGGACATTAAAATATTCCAAACTGAGTGCTTGGCGCCTGGTTTTCCTCATTGACAGGGCCCCCCAGGGCGTGGCTGGAGCGGGGAGCTGGGCCCTCCCAGGCCCGCCTTGGGCCACGGTTCCCTGTCACGACCCCCGAAAACACAGGCCATCCGTGCGAAGCTTAGGGTGCCCCGCACCTCCAGATCTGGAGCCAACCGGTGCTCTCTAGGACGTGGGTTTTTCCAGGTCTTCCTGGCGGGGCTGCTTCATAGCACAGGGCAGCGTGTGGGCCCAGGCAGCCGGGCAGCTGCAGGGTCGGGCTCCCGGGGCCGCTCTCCAGAAGCCACTGCCAGGGGCCAGCGCGGCTGCCCTGTCTAGGCGGGCCCCGGCTCCCCAGCTAGGGAATCCCCATCTCTGCCCGACGGGGCGCCCGGGGGCCTTGCCAGCAGCCTGGAAAGTCGCCTCTCGAGTGTGCGTTCGCCTCAGAGCCTGCCGTGCGGCTCCTCCCTGTAAGCCCCCTGCCGGGGGCTGCCTCAGGTCCAGCCAGCCCCACGGCTCGGCCCGGGGCACCCAGCCCAGCGTCCCCACGGCTCCCCCAGATGCCGCCACACCCCAGTGATCTGACATGGTGGCCGCGCCCCCTGGGGGGAGGGCAGTGGAGCAGGTGCGGAGCTGTGGGCACATGGGGGTGGCCCGGCCGGAGCCGCGGGGAGGCCAAGCCAGACACTCCTGCTCCAGCTGCGGGGCCGCGTGATTCTCCTGCGCGTGCTCAGGAGGGGAGTGCGAATGTTCCCGGGCCCGTCTGGACGGGACACCTGTGCTGGCCGCGGCCCCCAGGGAAGACAGCGGGGACCGCCACGCACCTTCACGGCCAGCGTTTCCTGTGTCGGCCACGCAGGGGTCTGGCCTGGGTGTCGCCCAGGGCTTAGCCACACCCTCCTGCAGGGGCCCCGGGGCCACCCAGCCCAGCCCCCAGCCTGCGCTCACAGCCCGACTTGAGGGCTTGGACGAGCAGCTGAGGCTGGCTGACCCTCGCCAAGGGCCGAGGCGCCAGCACCACCTCCCCATGCACCCCGAGGGCGCAGGCAGCGTCTCCCTGGAGACCCCGAGAGGAGGAAGCTCCCCAGAGGAGGAAGCGCCCCGGCCCCGGCCCCCACCTGTGTTTGCTGGGATTGGGTCGAAGGCCCCAGAACTTGGGGTCACGGCGCCTGCTGGCGTCCTGCAAACCAGACCAGAGACTGGCGGGAGCGCGGGGTGGGGGTGCACCTGGGTTTCTCCCCCATCAGAGAATGTCGTCTGTGTGAACTGACGGGATTTAAGAACGGAGGGCTGAGCGGTGCAGCCTACGACCCAGGGAGACGAAGCAGCTGTCCGGCCAATGTAGGGTCAAGCGTCTTTTCTCCTAGAATAGTTCAAGTGAGACACGTGAGCTCACGCCCACCGCACCCCTGCCCACGCCCCTGGGGCACTGGCCTGCGGCTCCCTCCGCAGCAGCCTCCCCTCCCGGCTCGGTGGCAGGACGCAGCGGGCCCAGGCAGGTGGCGGGAGCAGCCCTTCCCCGGCCGGCGCCTGCCCGGCCCTGGCCACTCCGGTCCCCGCACACCACACCACCTCTGCGCCCAGACAGCGGCCCCTGTGGGTGGCCAGCAGGATGTGCATGCGAAGCCTCTGCCCGAGCCGGTCTGGGGCCAGGAGCCTGTGCTGCCCCCCACTGCCTGGCCTCCAGGGCAGCACCTTCTGCTGCTGGGCTGGCTCTCCTGGCCGTGGCCGGGCACTGCCCTGCCGGGCCCCTCACCATAACCTGTGCCAGGCCTGCGCGCCCACCACCCTCTGACCCAGGGCATAAGCCCCAAGAGGCTGCTCTGGGCTCTGCAAGAGGCGGCGCCCGCTGGCCAGGCGAGCGTCACTCCAGGCCAACCCGCCACCTCCTGTGACAGGCCCGGCCCAGCGCCGAGCCGGAGGAGGGCTGTCAGGGTGGCAGCCGGAGGGCCGCCGGCCGGAGGGCGCAGACCAGGCCTCCGCAGCTGGCCCGGAGGGCGTGGGCCCTGTCGGCCACCGGACATGAGACCCGTGGGACACGTGCTGAGTCTGCGTAGAGCTGCGGCTCTGGTCGTGATGGCTGACAAGAGGTTTACCGCACCAGAGGTCACTGCACACCCGGAGAGAAGTCGGGAAAGAGGTCAAAGACTCAAAAGGCAGCGAGCTACGTCAGATCGCGCTGTCTGCTCCGTGGCCGCCTGGGATCGCGCTGTCTGCTCCGTGGCCGCCTGGGATCGCGCTGTCTGCTCCGTGGCCGCCTCGGATCGCGCTGTCTGCTCCGTGGCCGCCTCGGATCGCGCTGTCTGCTCCGTGGCCGCCTCGGATCGCGCTGTCTGCTCCTTCGTGGCTGGTGCAACCTTCTGCCGAAGATGCACTTCCTGTTGGCATCTGCCCAGAGCATCAGTTCGTCCTGGGCCGCTTTGACACACTCCGGCTCGCGCCTCCAGGGTGTCTGGCCTGAGGCGGGGTCGGCTTCTAATCCACAGACGCACCCCCGGAAGGGGCCTCACTGGTCGGCCTTCCACCGCCTTCCACCACCTTCCTCGCCCTCCCACGGCCCCCACGGAGCCGCTGGCCGCCCCTGACCTGGCTGCAGAGCCTGCAGCATGGGTGGCCCCGAGTTCACAGGGCCTGCTGCCACCCCAGGACGTAGGCTCCAGAGCCCCGTCCAGCAGGGAGGTGCAGAGCAAGGGCCAAGGCGCCCCGCGCCCGGGCCACCTGGGGGAGGCTGGGCGCTCCGGGCCCCCGACTGGCCCATCATTCTGGGGACTCCACTGGCGTTGCTCAGCGCTGAGCTCACTGGCCGAGCGTGCACCAAAGCCTGATTTTTTTGGGACAGCTTTGCGCAAAAATGGCAGCGAGGTCATTTTACCAGTTTGTTTTTAAGTCAATAGCGCAGGTCCAAAGTAAGTACCGACCCCGCGGCCTGGCCTCCCAACCCTCACTCTTAGGCTGGGACCCCAGGCTGCCCCCAGAACCTCAAAATGCGCCTGTGTTGCGAGCTTGGGGTGTTAAAGAGGTGGCAAATCAGAGGGGATCTTAAAAGCCGGGGGGTCCGGGGAGGCGCTGGGTGCAGAGGAGAGACGGGGGGGCGGGGCCTCAGGCGAGCCTCCTGCGGCAGGTGCCTGCCCTGGCCAGGGAACCCCAGGTTGGTAGTTGCGGGCGCCCCTTGGGGAGGGGGTGGACTGCAGGGCCGGGTCCCCCGGCCGCGCCCCTCCACAGCCGCGTGCGGCACATTCTCAACAACCTTACACGCCGCGAGGGCATCTCGCCCCCCCACCCGCACCCCACTCTCGGGGCAGGTGACCCAGGCTGGCAGGGCGCGCGCGGGGTCTGCTCCTTGAGCTGCTCACTCCGCCCAGTCCAAGCTGACGTCCAAGCTGACGTCCAAGAGGTTCCAGTGCAGAGGTCAAGCCCGCACCCCGGCCCCCGGCCGCCACCACTCGCCAGTGCGTTTCCACTCTCGAACCCTCTTTCACTCTTCCACACCGCCGATTCCGCCAGCCCCCTCGACCTGACCCCAGTACTGTCCAGAGATGTTCTCGGGCGTGTTCGGAAGCGCCCCAAAGCGGGAGCGCCAGAATCCGTCACCACCGGGGCGGCGAGGGGCCTGCGCGGCGCTGGAAATGGTGGCCGGCACTGGCCGGGCTCGGCGGTCGGAGACCCCAGCAGGCGGGAAGCAGGCGCGCCGGCACCCCCCACGCGACCTCCACGCGCCAGGCCCACAGGACGCAAACCACGGGAGGCCGGGTCGGCGTCTCCTGGGGCCAGCGGGCGGGGGACGGCCGGGGGCGAGGCCTCCCGAAGTGGGGCCACAATCGGAGCGGGAGAGTTGAGGGCTGCAGCTGGCCGCTGACCACACGGCGGAAGAGCGGGGAGCCCCGAGGTGGGAGGGACGGGGCGTGGGGCGGCGTGGGCTGCAGGGGCCATCACTCTGCCTACGGCTCCACGCCGCTTGGAGTTTTCCTGATGTCAAGTCTCAAAAGCCAGTGGCAGGCTCGCTGCGGGCCCCACATCCCGCTCCCGAGTGGGGTCCCTCTGGGGCCCCCCACCGGGTTCCACGCTGGTGTCCTGGGGGCAGCGCGGCTTCCCATTACTTAGTGCTGGCTTTTGTATGTCCAGGGTCTGACTCGGAGTCAGGGGCTAAAAAAATAAGCTGAGTAATTTTCTCTTAAGTAAAAGGGGGAGGAAGACAAAGAACCCGGGCGGGTGAGGAACGGACGATGGGACAGGCCTCCGTTCCTGAAAGGAAGTCCCCTGGGGCCAGGCTGGGGCGGGGCTCCCCACTCCTCGCACCTGCCGGGCGCCCCTCCGCCCGCGGGCAGCCGGACCCTTGTCCTGGGCTGCCGCAGGGCGACGCCCCGGCCCGAGCGGGAGGAAACGGGCCTGCGGGACTCGGCGGGCAGCCCGCGCCCCGCCTCTTCTGGTGCCCAAGGCACCTTGTCGGCCTCCACGCCGCTGTTTCCTGTTTTTGAAAAATGTCATTTTCTGGCCAGTGGCCAGTCTGAGGCGCGCGCTGGCAGGAAAAGGCCGAAGAATCTCCCAGGCCGTCCAGCAACGCGCGCCTCGCCCGCAGACAGGGCTGGCCGGGGGCAGAGCGGCAGCCGCGGCCGGCAGGAAAGAAACGCAGCTGTCTGAGACGGACAGGCCGCTGCTCCCAGACGTTCCTGGCCGTCCACCCGCCCCGGGCCTGGGGAGAGCCAGGGACAGCGGCCTGGCGCGGTGGCATCCCGCCGGGGCTCCGGCTCGCG